AGGCCTCTGGGAGAGGACCCGAGATTGAGGAAGACACGTACCACCCATAGGGGTGAGAGGGAAATTTTTATATCACCTAAACAAAATTATGCCATCATAATTATTTATTGATTTATTTGATTTATACAGCAGCTCATCTCACATATGTTAATTAATCCTCATCCTTAGTAGATCATGATACATGCACAGCATAGCATAATATAGCATAGCATAGAGCACCCATTCTTATATTGGTTAATTCAGAAAGAAATGTAAAGCCCATATTCTTGACCAGAACTATTGCATATGGAAAAGCTTCATCTTTATACCACAAGCACAGCCTCCCATTAGCAGAATTCTCTTTCTGTATCACAAATGACTATTCTCCAACCCAGACTTACATGTAATCATCCTGAAGAGTCTAAATGCTTTGGAGAAACTTTTCTCCAGTTGTCTGAATGATCACTAGAACCAGATGCTTATGCATCTTATGCCCAAGCAATTCACATACTGATCTTTAACTATTCCCACATTCTAAAACTACTTCTCTACACATACTTTAAAAAAGAAAGACAGACAAACTGTCTGGGAGGAAATGTGATGACTGAGGCTAATAATAATAAAGCAACACGGTCACCGGGAGATTTGGGTGTCTATTTGCTAGCTTGCGCTGGGATGAATGCTAGGAATTTCTATCTGTTCCCAGGTGCCACTTCAGAGCCACTTCATAACCATGTTGCCCTGAGTAAGGTGGAGCAATTGCCTGGAGGCGATCAAGTATTTCTAAAGGGGAAATTGCTGACAGGCAGCTGAATGCTTTTTGGACTCCTTGTGGGTGTGCTGCTTGCACTAGCACTGACACTGACTGAAAGGAGTCATTATTTGCAACGGTACGCAAAGCTGTCCTTTAAATTCAAGCAAATTTGAAGGGTCGATTCAAACAGAAGGAATCCTGAGCAAGAGAGCCTTCTGAGTTACTCAGAGAAGGCATTTCTTTCTGTCTCCTTTTGAAGGTGAAGAAAGTAGCCCATTAGTTCTGCTTTACCCCTCTTGACTCAGGCTATTTCTGTTAACATGAGTAAGCTACCTCACGTGTTAGACCAATTCTTTCCAAAGTAGGGCATTTTGCTTAAATGGGTTCCTAAAACATCAATGTGCGACATGCCTTGAGAAATATCAAGCACGCAAAGAGGAAAAGGAAAGAGTTGTTCCCATTGGTGAACGTGGTATGTGCATCACGGAGAATTTCTGCCACAGTGCTTCTCCTGTGGAAATTCAAAATGATTTAAGCAAGGCACAGTAAGGTAACTTGAAATAAAGTCAATGCCACACTGCCACAATAAATAGAGTAAAGCCGCTTCAGAAATCAAAAACCATGACATTTGTTCTCTATGTTCGGTATTTCATATTCTTCTCAGAAGAGCACATGAACACTTACTTTATTTATACACCACTGGATTCAACAGAAATGGCAATGTAAAATATAAAAACAGAATAAAAACATAAAAGCCAATAAAAACACAAGCAACCATAAAAGTGGTAAGTAGAATGATGACCATTCATTCCCCAAAGGAAAAAATTCTGTCTTTCACAGTTTCTGGAAGGCCAACAATAAGGGTGCCAGTCTAATCTTAAGAAGAGAGTGTTACGCAACATGGGGGCTGCAGCAGAAAAACATTGCCTATGAGGCCAGCCCCAGTTTTTGTTGAGGGTTTTTTTTTTTCACTTTTATTTCTAGATTACCCTGGTTTACGACTAATAAGCTAATTATGGCTTCTAGTGACTTTCATGGACTTATGCCTTTCTCTTGGCATGATACAGAAATGGCTTGCCAAGCATCCATGGAATGGATTGGTTGAACAACATGTTTCCAGTTCCTCACTCTTATTTCAAAATATGCAAGTGCTACGTAAACAAAATCTTAAGTACAGGAAGGAGCTTAAGTTATAATGAAATTTAAATGATTATGCACCCAAAAACCTTATGATTTTTCTCCTTTTTATTTATAATGTACACTAGATAAGAAGGGCTTCCTTCACCAATGCAAATGTCTTTAAGTCAAGCAGCTTTTAAGCTAAGTCGTTTAAATTATCGTCTCTCCTGCCTTCCTGCAGCTTTGCAATAAATAAGCAGGCAGTAAAACAGTGATTTATGTTCAAGCATTTCAAAGTTAATTATCTTGCCAGTGGCAGCATGAAGCTTCCATTTCTGGTACAGTTTATCCTGTTAGGCATGTAACCATTTGTACAACCCCTCTCCCTTCTTAGAGTTAAGTAAGGGCATTAATTATTCTTAGCTGGAAATCTCTCAAAGTTTGCAGCATTTGGTCTTGGGTTCTTCAGCCTTCAGCCAGACCAACTATGGAAAGAAGACAGGTTCCTTGCTGCATCTCTGATGGTCTTTGGGCCACTCTGGAGCACCTCAGCAGTCCTTTCCTGGGCTGCTCTGAGACAGTTGGGTCTCAGTTGGGTCTGCTCTGGAACAAGCAAATCTTCAGCAGGTCCATAGCTATCTAAGCCAAAATTATAAACCATTTTTTCTTTTCAAAACTCCAACTCCAAGTCATAACTAATTATTCTCTTTCTGCAAGCATATCAGCCACCTTTTACTCCCTCCTCCTTTTTTTCTCTGCAAAAGTTTCTGCCTGTGTTCCATGTTATTCTCCCAACCTGCACTTACCTGAGTAGAAGAACAGAATATATGTCATGGCAGGATGGCAGACAATGTTCAGTTGAGATACAAACAAGTCTGATTCTTCACTGCCATCTACTTATTTTTTTGGAGCCAGATCTGGTGACTGGATTGTTGTGCTCTTTTATGAGAAAAGCTGGCATGGGGTTTCTATTCAGAAATGAAACTATGATAACCTTAAAACCGAAAAAGATAAAATTGTAGAAGTTTACAGCTTAAACATGCTAGGTAAATAGTGTGGCAATTTGCCACACTGTCACAAGGGGTTATTTCAATAACCTATCACATGAAACACCAAGAGAAAATCACCCAAACTGATCTTTTTAATTGGTAAGGCTTTATGTATTTGGGAAAAGGGTGTTTTCCTAGTGGAACTTATTAGGAAAAAAACATTTCTGTCTTCTGCAGGCATCTGAAAGTTCTCATGTTGGGAAACAGTGTGTAAGATAAGTATATCCATATTTTGTTTGTGAATAGAGAAGTGTGACAAAGAGTAACTGTATTCAGATGGTTTTCTGTAAGAATATTCATAGGGGTCAAAAAAGTCAAGGTAATGGTTGTGACCATGCAGTTGAACCTTTTTTACATGCCTCATAAGGGGTTTTGGTTGGGACTATCATCTTGACTTTTTTGACACACATGCACACTGCGGACATCTTCTGTGAGTATGCACTTCTGAATGTTACAGATGTGGCATAGGTGTTACTGTTTTTTTTTGTCTAGTTCATGTGGAATATATGTTTGCATATTTTGATAGCTTATTTCTTTATCCAGACAAACTGATACCTCAGAGATGAGCATGGAAACTTTACACAGTAATATAACTCTTGCATTTAAAATCGCTTATTTAAAACATTGCTCCAAAACAGCGTGGTAACACAAAAGCATGAGAAAGGAAGCATGTTTGACAGATGATTTCAATTTAGCTGTCATTTGTTCTGGAAATTACTCTGGAAACTAAAGCTAAAATGGGATTTGTTTTAGAAAATAGTACAAAAATTAAGGTTTCCTTAGAAAAGAAGCATTTCATTTCTGTTTTTTATATTTAGAAGCTACTACACTCACTTTTTTTCCAGATAACATTACTGCGTATTCCACTTGATTATTTACTTTTCTGTCTCGTGCTGCTTGATTATGATTCTGCACTCTACCATTCTATGTCCTAGAGGGTTAGGTTTCTGTATTCTTCTGTTTGCTCTCCTCCTTGGTTCTCCTGCTATAGCCAGTGTTAGACTCTGCTTTAAGTTTTCTTAATCAGGCTCCTTCCTGCCCCTCCCCAGCCTGCTAACACATGCCTCTGTTTCTAATGTTCTCCTTTTTTCCAGCAGACAATGTGCACAGCATCGTAGCTGAACCTTTTTTAAAGGGACAGCTTATCCAGTTCTAAAAGGCAGGTCCTTAAAAGAGAAAGGGGAGGAGAAACGTGGACGTTCCAGCTGCCACACATCCTTCCTTCCACACATAGCCCATCAGCTCTTCCTTTAACACAATGGAATAATGTATGAAAACTGCAAATGCTGCAAATTTGCATCATTTATGCAACTAGTATTATTCAACTTTGTCATAGTGTCAAATTTTGGTTTATTTATCTAATTAATTAGTTTACACATAGCACCAAAGTTAAGCAGGGGTTTCCAGATTGGCAGGTGAAAGGGTTGGTGGGAAGATGTAGACATGACTTCTTTGTGATTAAATGTATGTTTTGTTCTGTGTTGTTTCAAAGGAATGGAGACCTGTGCAGCACCCAAGACCGTTGACAGTAAGCTAGAGGAGAGTTCAGAAGCTCCTATTTTGGAAGACACATCATCTTCACCAGTAGAAATCCAACAACATTTATGGCAGGTTTCCACAGATATTGAAAACACCGAGAGGTGTGCGCTTTATTTTGATTTCATATCACTTGATATTAGCAAGAATGAAGCTCACATAAAATTAAATTTTTATCCACTGTTCTGCGAGGAATATAGTGTATATTTTATTTTATTATTAAATTTACTTTTTATTTTTATTCTTGTCTTCTTTAGTAGAGCTTGTCAAAGCTATCCCAAACATTCAGTATCACAGCTGAAAAAATGCAGGATTAGTTACCCTAAATAGATAGTAACTGGCCCCAGTTCTGTGAACAAAACTAATTTGTTGGATAATACTGATTTATAATTGCTATAAATTGCTTGGCTTATATCATGTACATTTGCCTACTTTATATGGTATATCATGGCACATTCGATGCACTAGTTTTTTACTGCTGATTTCTGCTGTTTACATGAGAACTAGTTTGGAGTAGTAGTTAAGGCATTAGGCTAGAAACTGGGAGACCGGGAGTTCTAGTCCGGCCTAGGCCTAAAGCCAGCTGGCTGACCTTGGGCCAGTCTCTCTCTCTCAGCCCTAGGAAGGAGGCAAACCACTTACGAAATCTTGCCAAGAAAACTGCAGGGACTTGTCTAGGCAGTCTCCAAGAATTGGACACGATTGAACGGATTTTTTTAAAAAAATCATTTACCTAGGTTTTTAATGTTTGTTTGTTTATTCATTGCATCCTGCCTGTCCGTTATGATTGCTCCGGGCTATAAATATTTAAATAAATAAATATTAGAAATTGCATCACACATCCAAAATAAATAGGTTTTGAATGTGCATGGATAACATTCTTACCATTTCTAGTTCTTCCTCATATATTTTTTTATTGTTGCTCTTATTGTTAGCACAGTCTTAATTAAAATAAAACGTGATGTTTATTAAAACTCTAGCACCATGTTTGGTATATGTGTATACTTTTTTTTTATTCCTTAGTGTTATTCTTGGAATTCCAAAATATAGAAATAGATCTTTATTTCAGTTTTGTGCATTATTTCTGCAGGGATATGAGAGAAATGAAAAACCTTTTAAGTAAACTCAGGGAGACTATGCCTTTACCACTGAAAAATCAAGGTAAGCGTTTATCAATAGTATATTTAAGTGGGCAGGCTCAATTTCTTTCAGGAATGGTAAATGAAAATCCTGTAACCTACAGTTGATGCCTCAAAAAAAAATGGCATCCTCTTTTTTTCTCCCATGCCAGGATGAGCAGTCTCTTACACTTAACACTCTTGGAGGCGTTCTGAAGGCGATGAAGCAAAATGGGTGGAACCAGGATTTTCTCAGATTTTTTAAATTGATTTTTTGTGGGAATTTGGAGATGTTGCTTTAACTATGCTAAATCTGTCTCAGGGCTTACAGTACAGTTTTTGATTGTTTCCCTCTTCAGAATAAAAGAAAACAGTACCAGCAGTTTTTAGCAGCTACGGCCAGCTAGGGGTCCAGGGGTCATAGGTGGTTTTATCCAACCTTTAAAACAGCTTTTGTCTATCCTGTGCCCTGCAGATATGTTATACTAAAAGTCCCATTATCTTAGCCGGCAACCATGCTGACTGGGCTGAGGTACTGTAGGATAATACATCCGATATAGTGCAGTCATGGGGTCGGGGGGAGGCTTCTGCTCTCAAAATATCAGGCAGTAGAACAACTCCATCCATTCGTCCACACTGCCTTGACTCCTCAGAATCTACAAATATGTACAGGTAGAGAAGACTCTTGAGAGTCCCCTGGACTGCTAGGAGGTCAAACCAGTCAATCTTAAAGGAAATCAACCCTGATTGCTCATTGGAAGGATCGATAATGAAGCTCAAGCTCAGATATTT